AGAGACACTGTATATGCATATTGTGGAAGGAAAATTCTTATAACTTTGTTATTTCTCACTCGATTTTAATATTTTATACCTTATTGTAAAATATTTGTTATATATCGTCACCTAAAACGCAAACGGCCCTATCTAACATTTTTAAAATTTTACAGGAGAAGCAAAAAACTATTTAAATTGAAAAGTTTGTTTCTATCAACGCGATTTATTTGTAGTAAATAAACAAATTGTTTAATAGTGAAACCTATCATTTGTTATGATAGTTGACAATGGCGTATATAAAAATGGATAAATTGGACTTTTTACCTTTAATATTTAAATGTTTTTGTAGATAGGACCTTTTGTTTTCTGTCAATAAAATCGATAATTATGGTCAGAGGAGTCCAATTTTTGGTGTGGACATTTGTTTTGATGCAATACATTAGAATCACCAATAAAATCGATTTTGAATTTTTGGTTAGTTAGGGCCGTTTGCATTTCAGGTGACGATATGTTAAGAAAATATGATTTTTATTTAAACAAGTAAGTTTTATTATACACTAATAAAATAAAATTGGGCACTTCTAATGTACATACTAGGGTATTCAAACAATTAGTCATCGATCGGTTAATCGATCAATTTTTAACAATAAATCGATCGAATAAATGAAAATAGCCAAATTTCAAATAACTAATAAACCGAATAATTTATATCAGTTAATATATATCTTATACAAAATTCAATATTGTTGTAATAAATTTTCTTCCTTTATTAATTCCTTAATTACACAGTGATACGGCAAAAAAATGCAGGGTTCTCATATACCGATTCCATTTCGTTATAGTCCATAGAGTAGGAATATATTTTTAATTTTTCCCGATCACTTCGTTTAGTTCTTTTTTAAGAGCAAAAGATGTGAAAAGAGCTATTTTTGAAGTTTTAACTTTAAAAAAATATATGTTTGGTAGTTTGCAACCGATTTTCAAATTGGATATTTTGTTTTAAAGATACAAGTGTTGTCTTTCAACCCAAAAAATTAAATCCAAAATTTATGATTAATGTCTTGGTTACGGCCATTTAAATAAAACAACTCACACTTTTTTCACAATTTTTAATTTTCATACTGCTCTACGTTGGCCATGAAGCAGTAACTTTAGCTTTTATTACATTTGAAAAAAGGCACATTAAGTTGGGTTTCCAATGATGGTCAATTTATAATAATCGATGAAAAAGGTTATGAGTTGTGCTAAGTTTTATAAAAATATTGCATATTTCTTCCATACAAAAATGTTCATGTTTCTGGTTTTCTTTGTAACAAGTTTAAAAAATGTTTATAAAAATTTTTATACAAAAATTAATTCGAGGAACATGTACATGAACTATTAGAAAAATTGGCATAAATCATCCAGTTTTTCATAGATTTTTATGAAATATGTGATTCTTCAGGAAAGTAATAAAAGATGAACTCACTGCCTCATGGCCAACGTAGAGCATGATGAAAATGAAAATTTTTTAAAAAAGTGTGAGTTTTTTTACTTAAACGACCGTAACTCAGACATTTGACCATAAATTTTGGATTTTTTTTGGATTAAAAGGCAACACTTGTATCATTAAAAACAATATCGGATTTGAAAATCGGATGAAAACTACTAAACTTATAATTTTTCAAATTTAAAACTTCAAAAATGGCTCTATTTCGCATCTTTTGCTCTTAAAAAGTAAGTTAACGAAGTGATAGGGGAAAACTAAAAATATATTCGTACTCTATGGACTATATCGAAATAGAATTGGTGTATGAGAACGCCTGCATTTTATTTTTCTTCACTTTTGTATCACAGTGTTATTTTTCTATAATGAAGAATATTTATTTGATTATTTTTATAACAATAATTCAGAAATATTGTGAGAATTTGCTCTGATTTACCTGATTTGAAGTTTCTTAAGGACTTCAAATAAGTTCTTCAGCAATAGTTATACATTAGTTCATTGGAACGTATGAATTCCGTAACTCTTTGAAAACCCTCAAAAACATAAAATTAATTAACTTAATTTCTTTATATAGAAAAGGAGTTCACATGAAAAGAAATACTTTCTAATTAAAAAATTTACGTATTCAATTAAAGAAGTGGAAAATTATAATTTTGTTTAATTTTTCCTTTTATTCGATTAACCGAATAATTTTTAATTATCCGATTATTAACCGGAACTTAAAACCCGAATAATTGATATACATACCCAGCAAAAAAAGAACTTCCAAAGAAGCGAAAAAGAAGTAGACTTTACTCCATGGAAGTACTGAAAAAGACCTGAAGAAGTGATGATTTTAACACAGTCTTGTCAAAGGAGGGTTGTGTCCTTTTTTTGATTTTAAATTCACTACTTCCCAAGGAGTCATTTTTATGCTCTTTCTTTGGATGATATTCGAAAGTGAATTGGATACATTTAATACAGAAGCCCAAACATAATTTTTTTATCTCACAAAAATTGAATTATTTTCGCTTCTTCGGAAGTCATTAAACATCACAGAAGGTAAAAAATCTCTTATTGCTCCTTTTGAAGTTGTGATAAATGTTATTCTTTTGGTAGTACTTCGTTTTATTATTGCTGGATATTTTCGATTTAAAAGTGTTTTTACATAAGCTTAAACTGCTGCGTTTGTTGACCATTGTCTTTGTCTATATGTATACAAACCAATGTATGTATGTATGAGCAGTTATGTATGTGTGATGTACCATGTACATACATAATATGTATGTATTCTTGTATGAATGGAGCAACATCTTTTAAAAATTTCTGGCTTTCATGTTTGAAAATGGGGTTTTTCTCTATAGGTTTATACTCCACTTTTTGTTCTGGTTTTGTGTATTTTTTTCAGTTTGGTAATGGTTGTTAAAAACAATTGCTTAACTTTACTGTGTACTATTATACTGAAACAAAGCCGTGGTTCTTTAATACAAATCCTCCGAACAACAGCAACTGAAAGTATGACACAACCGCTTTTTGGCATGGTATAATAAGGGCAAAAACCACGTCGCGACACAATGACTCTCGCCATCATCAGCCAAATTTGTTTTATTTATATTTATATTATTTTTTTTTTTTTTTTTTTTTTCATTAAAAATAAACTTTTTTATTCCTTTTTAGAAAATGATTTTGGCTGGCTGGAAATGTATTTCTTAAGTAGAAAAAAAACCGTAAAAATATGTATAACTAAATTTTCATTAGATGAAAAATAGTGTTGAAGCCAGGAGATAAAATAAAAACAAATTAAAAGTTTATTTCATAAAATACAGCATTTTTTAAGCCTTTGATAAAATTATAAATTGACTATGAAAAAAACCTTTTAGTTTTTCGAAAAAGAGTAAAAAGGAAATACCTGAATAACTAGCATGAAATATTAATTTAGCAGTAGTTATGACTTTGATATAATATATTAAATTTTATATCCAGCTTCAATGTATGAGTTTGGTTCCATATCCACTAGTAGATCTTATATTTGATAAAAATCAGAAGCAAATAATTGGAATCGCTTTAATCGAAAAAACAATTTTCCAACCAAAGGTCGAACATGTACATAAGATTATGTTCGAATATTCGAAATTAAGTTCTAAAATACGAAGTAATGTTCGACAGCATTTTTATGCATTTACACGATCACACTTTAAGTCTAATGAAAAACTAGAATTAAATTCCAGCCGTATGACAAAAAAAAAAAGAATAAAAGTCATATGCTTTATATTTTATTTTATTACGTGATTGGTATAAAACAATAACAAGTTTTTTTTTTTGGATTGCCAGGGTATCCCACGTTGGTTTAAAGGAAATCCTCCAAGTCGACCTATATCTTCATATAGGTAGCTTTAAACAAAAGGAAATCTTTAAAAAATTAAGTAAAATTTGAGTTTTAAATGGTACTCCACCAGTAAAGTTGAAGAGTTTCAATGGTCCACCAGGGTATAAACAGTTGAGGTTTAATGGTCTCAACCAGGGCATAAACGGTTGAGTTTTAATGGTCTAGTAATACACTACACTAGTGCGATCGAGACGCAAAACTGTCGCGTTAAAAAAAATCGCGATGACGCGAGAATTGTTCCCCAACTCAGACCTAAATTACTACTGCAATAACAAAGTAGTGTTTACATAAAAATACATCGCTGATTTCATGCTTGTTTTTACGACTGTCATATTTTCCATTTGTAATTTCTCTCTATGTGTGATGATTTCATTACATATTGCATTTTGACAGATCATATTACTTGTGTGCTCGTGTCAAGGGGGCTTAATTTAGTCTTTTGGTCAAAAAACTAAAAAAAAGTTTCGAAAATTCGAACTCATGTTCAAAAAAATTTTAAAGCTGATAAAACAATGAGTGAGTTAAATACATTATTTGAAAAAATTAATGCACGGATTCAGAAAGAAGAAGAGAAAACAGATTTTAAATTTTTGTATGAAAACTACTCTTTTTTTGTTAGTGTTTTTCACATAAAAATTTAAATATTGTTTTACATTATTCTTTTTGACTACTGACCTAAATTCAAACAATATATAAAAATTTAGTAATTTTCATACAAATTTCGAAAATAAATTTTCCGTTAAGATATTGAAACAGGGGATAATTTATTACATGAGTCACTCATGCAGACTCTAGTATTTACGCACAAAATATTAATTTACAAAGTGTAACTGGTAGAATTTTTTTTTAATTTTTTGACATTTTCTTTTACTCATTATGTGATAATACAAGTCTTTAATTTATATGGAAAAACTTAATAAATTTAGTAGTTTTTCAAACAAAAACTGAATAGTATTGTTGTTGGTGTAAATGGCATGTTAATGTTTTGTAACCTAAAACTTAAAATAAGAAGAGAATTTCTTATATAAAAATAAACCGCCTCCATCAACTTTTGCACAAATAATTAATAATATTTATATTCAGTACTTACCATATATATATACATTTAAGTATATACATACATACCAATAAAGAAATAGGTAAAGGCGTTTAATAAAAAACACTTACCTTGAACCTGAAAAAATAAAAAGATTTTAGATTAAATTTGAAACTTTTAAAATAATATACATACATATACAATGTTTGTAAAAACCATTAACCCCAAAACATGTATGTATGTATGTATGTATGTATGTATGTATGTATGTATGTATGTATGTATGTATGTATGTATGTATGTATGTATGTATGTATGTATGTATGTATGTATGTATGTATGTATGTATGTATGTATGTATGTATGTATGTATGTATGTATGTATGTATGTATGTATGTATGTATGTATGTATGTATGTATGTATGTATGTATGTATGTATGTATGTATGTATGTATGTATGTATGTATGTATGTATGTATGTATGTATGTATGTATGTATGTATGTATGTATGTATGTATGTATGTATGTATGTATGTATGTATGTATGTATGTATGTATGTATGTATGTATGTATGTATGTATGTATGTATGTATGTATGTATGTATGTATGTACGTATGTATGTATGTATGTATGTATGTATGTATGTATGTATGTATGTATGTATGTATGACCGCTTATTTAAAATTTGACCTATTAGAATTGTTTTAGTTTTATAACTACATACAGTAGCGAGCACAAAAAATGCAACATGAGATCATATGATATTTTATTTCTTCTGTTTCGAAATAACGGTAATCATTTCATCTCTTATTTTTTTTTCTTAAAAAGAACCGCATCGAATTTGAAAAATGTTTTAACCGCTATGTCCATACCCGGGTATGTTTTTCACTTTTGAAGTGAGATATCTCGAGATCTATATATCGTATCGACTTGAAATTTCAGACTATGCTTTCAGAGTAATATTTGCTATAAATTTTCCAAAAATTAGTTAGATATATATTTCTTAAACCGATTTATGACCGATTTGCCATTTTTACCTCGTACATCAATACCCAACATACCCGGGTATGTATAAAAAGTATATGTCAGTTATCGGACAAAAATTAAGTTTCATATGTATATTCTTGTATCTCATAAAAATAATTGAGCTAAATAACAAATTTTGTTTCAAATACGGAGTCATGTGTCATTGTTCATAAATTTGAATGTGAAATATTTATGGACCCTGTAACATTTTCAAATATGGACCGATTATGTTGAAATTATTTTTTTATTGTATATGGCTTAGTAAAGTAAAATTATACCGATTATAATAATTTTCTTCTTATATAAACAAAAATATTTAAGTTTGAATTTTCAAATTTTAATTTTTGACCATGACTTAGCAATCTTTTTTTGCAAAAAAGTTCCCTACTAACGAAAGCAAAAACAATTTCTTTAATGCTAATTGATTTTATATACCTTAATAAATAATATAGAAAAAAATTGTTCAATTACCTTTCCCGGTCACTGTAATGTAATAGTAATAGCTTCTTGAAGTCAAAATTTTACAAAGTCAAATTCTACATAATGTACATTATACGTTAAGTAGGAGTTTTTCTTTAGTTTTTTGCATATGATATTTTTGTAATTAAGAAAACAATGAGGAAACTTTTAAAAAATGCCTAAAATTTAATGGTATTTGATCAAAAACTATTTAATTTATTTTTACTGGCGTTTTATTAAATTAGTTTTAATAATTTATCTAAATTATACACTAGAAATATATAAAAAGATGAAATAGCCATATAAATTGTATGACATACCCGGGTATGTTGGGTATTGATGTACGTAATTTTGCTCGGGTATAGACAAAACGGTTAAGCCTGTTAAGTGTTCCTGTAAATGCATGGCATATAAACAGTGATTTTATTGCAAAAATCTCGATTCTTTCAACACACCAAAATGGATTTTGCGTCATATTTGAATGTTAGCCGAAGTGAATATCTTTGTCTAGGCCATCTAGTAAGAAATTTATGTCATCGGAGCCAAATAAATTTAATTTCATCACTTCATCCCATAAGACCTTTGCCCACAGTTCACTTGACCAATGCTGATACACAGAACTTCTTGATCGGATAGCGATTCAATTTCATGAATAGTTTTTTATCTTCTAGAGCTTTAATGAAGTTCTTTTTTATTAGATTGGTACTATAAAATACTATAAAAATCCTAAATTTACTGCTATTTCATTACGTTGAATTTTTTCTGTTTGAGGCAAATTTTCACTTTTTAGCAAATCAGTGATGCCAGGAGATTTTTTTCAGAAATCCCTACGCTTATGAGAAAAAATCCCTTTTTTCCCTACACCCACTTTTTATTTTCCCTACATTTTTCCCTACACTACTTTTTTCCATTTTTTTCAAAGTTTATCTTAAAAAAATACAAAAATAACATCAAAAACTAAAATATTAGCTCCGTTTTATAATATACATATATATTATTGTATTTTTTTTTAATATTTAGGAATGAAATTTCTAGAATTTAAAATTTTTTTTCTTTCAATTTTACATCAGAACCTTAGAACCATATCGAATAGTGATAAAAATTTATTTTATCTGCCTCCACAAAAAAATTTTCATAAAATAATTATTTTAAATAAGGTTTACTTTTGCGTTTACTTTTTGCGGTTTACTTTTATAAATTTTCAGAACATTAAATTAATTTTTTCAATCCTGAGTTACTGCATTAAGCCCCCGACTACTCTATCTATAAGGAGTCAGAATATATCTATATTCAGTCAGAATATATATATATATTTTGGATATTGGCATAATCCAAAAAGTCGTTTCAAGAAAAATGGATATGAATATTTAATGACATTTAACTATTTTTTTAATAACTTTTAAACAAATCAAGGGATTTTAAAAATCCAGATTCAGATGATTGAGGTTAATATGTTTCTCATCTAAATTGAAATTAAATTTTTAGTTGTCTAATATTCACGAAAACGTGGGTTTTAGTTTTTACGTTTACAAAAAATCGATTTCTCATCGAAAATAATAGACATATTTGAAATTTGATAAATCTATATGAAAGATTTTAGTATGTCGCATGTTTTGCAGACCTCAGTTCAAGAAACCCGAATTTTGGATTATACCAGTCTTGTAGCGATATGTAGGTACATATATTGTAGAAATTACAAGCGGAATTTTTACTAACGATACACTTAAAACTGATTTCATTTTTAATTTTAAAATTTTAATACATGAAAGAGTATATTTTTAGTTGTTAAAAACTATGAAATTTAAAAATCCCTACAATTTTACAATAGTAAGAAATCTTTCCCTTTTTCCCTACACGTGAAATTTTTGAAAAAATCCCTACAAAAAGGGAAAAATTACTACACTTAGCATCACTATAGCAAATATATAATAAAAGCTTTAAGTTATGAGAATAAACATCAAATGAGATGGATTGATTACCGTTATTTCGAAATCAAAGATAATATGGTATGACGTTTCATGCATATACATATGTACTAGAGCCCTGTATAAGTGACTTAAATAATAAATTAAAACATTTGATTTTTTTCAAACACTGTGTTTGACTCACTCATTGTTTTATGGAAAAAATAATAAGAAGTTGGACTATGACATTGTCTTACAACAATAACATATCCCTTTCCACACAGACGAGTTTTGTGAATTCAACACACCGGTGAAAATCCGACTCTCTCACAATACTACAAAACTTGTTCACGAAAATATGAAGATAATTTCACATCTTGCACATTTTCTTACACACAACACATTTTTTAATTTACACCGTTAAATAGCCCGAAATAGTTAAATTTTTTGTAAACGAGAAATATATTTTTTTTATTTTTTGACAATTTATTTTTGAGCAATTTAAATAAAACTAGAAAAAAACGAAGTTGTAAATTTGAGTGTTAAAAGTAGGAAATAAATTCAAAATAAACATAATAAGGGTTCTCATTTAAACGTTCAAAACCCTCGCAAACTGTGCAACCTGTGCATGTTTCCATTCTCGCAATTGAATTGTATGGGAATTGATTTGCACAACCCTTATAAATTTGAGCGATTATTTAGACTGGCAAACTTGAACAGTCTCATTGTGCATTTAATAAAACCTCTCTGTATTGACCACTTTTTAACTTAAGCACTTGAATATTCAGATTTAAAATGTATTTTTTATACTTTTTTGTTTAAATAATTATTTTTTTATTTTTTAATTTCGTTTGACATAGTTTTTAAATGTTTACAAATATTGTAACTGAACAGAATTTGAACACTGGTTTCATGAAACAAGTCGAATAAACTTGCACACTTGCACAAATGGGAAACTTAAGTGTTTAAATGAAACCCCTTAATATTTTGCAAATATGGAATAAATAGATTGAAAAATGTATTTATTAAATGTTTACAGATCAAATGTGCAATAAAAAGATTAAAAAATCTATGAAAGTATAATTTTAAATGTTTTATATTTTTCCTAAAATTTTTAGGTACGTTTTTATGCAACTATGTAGGTTTGTAATCAGTGGTGAAAGCGGCTGGAGCTACAATACTTTTACAAAAATTCTACCAATACATTCTTAGAGTCAGGTACCGAATGACAACTTCTTTAGGTACCAACTGACAAGCCCCAATTTCTTCCCAATAAGCACTCAAAACATTAAAATTCAAGTGCTTGTGTTTTAATTGGAATTCAACTTGAATTCCAGCTTATTTTTCAAATATTTTTCAAGTAAAAAAATTTTTGAACTATTTTAAAGTTTTATTCAAACTTAATTTTTATTGTCAAAAAAAAAATTGGTAATTTTGTGATTTTCCAAGATTTAAACCGTGAAATCAAAAAATAATTAATAAAATATAGTAAAAAAATATAGATTAAAAAATACACCGTTGAAAGTTTCAATCAAAAATTATAGTAAGTGTCATGGTAAGAAAAAATAAATTAAATGCAGAAAAAATTGTTGCATTGTTTACTGAACGCTCGCAAGGCAACGAATTTTTTATGATACATTCTATAATTATAGGAAATAAAACTATTGTAAAATCTCATGAAATACTAAATCTTAATAATTATTTCAACTACCCAATAGCATCTGGCCTTTTAAATATAAAATCT